GCCTCGGTAGGCCTGGGTTACCCAGTGATAATCAACTTTGTTTATTATTACGTTGGTTAAAATTAGAAAATTAAATATATAGATTAGGCGATTTATAATAATCAAATTGGTTAATTGATTTTAGAAATTGATACTTAAAGTTTATATTTAAGAGTCTTTTATCTAATAGAATTTTAAGCTTAGTTTGAATCTCCCTAATTAAGTCTACACTTCTTTTAAAATTTTAGGTTTGTTTAGGAGATTTCATTGTTTAGTTTGAAATTGATTAGATTTGGTAATTTTTAATCGTTATGAAACATAATTATGGTTAGGAATAAAAATTAAGTGTTTTAGTTATATTATAGAAAGCATTGAAATTTAGGTGGGTTGACTTTTCATGGTTGATTATTAGTGGATTAAGAACTAGATACCTTATGAAGACGATGTCAGGCTAAAGTTTGATTTTAATAATTTCTATCCTAATTAATGGAGCATGCACCCATAAGTCTATAGTTTTGCTAAGACTCGGATTCCTTAATTTTGTCTCTTCAGTGTGTCATAAGCTTGTGGGATAGAAAGGGAGTTTGATGTTTTCGTTGCAGTAGACCTGCGCACTGCTCGTCATGGGTAAGAGTTGTGCTAAATTTAAGAATCTATGCACAAGCAGTAGAATAGAAAAGAATTGAAAATATTACAAATGAAAAGGGATGTAGGCATTGTTGTTAAATCGAGGCACACTTTCTGTGACGAGTCAAGGGTACCCTAAAGGCAACATTAACAATACCTTTAATACTCTACCGCACAATCTCCAAATGAGGCACTTGATATGCTTAAAGCCTTACACCCTAACAACGTATTCTAGACCATCTTATTACACACTAAAAGGGAGACTTAACTCCTAATCACTAAGTCCAAAAGTAAAACTTCTTTTTTTTTTTGTTTTTTATTTCACTCAAAATTCATTTTATGCTTTAGAAATTAAACATTAAGGGAGAAAATTTCAAGAACGAGCTACAGACAATCAAGAAACCTCAAAAGACAATTAAAGACCTTCACCCTAAGCTCCCCTAAAGTCCCAAAACACAATTGTCATCTTTAAACTAATGCATTCAATAGGAAATCAATTCATGCACTAAATCATTAACTTGTTAGGAAAGAAAAGCCTCACTAAGGGATTCTTCCTATACTAAAGCAAACGCCAAATTAGCGAGTCTCACTACTCAATGAAATTTCTTAAACAAACACTCACACAAACTTCCTACAAAATCATCTACACACAAATCATCTCTTCGACACAATAATTTCTATACCACAAAACGACCCATAATCAAGTGCCTCTCCTTTCATTTGGAGTGGGGTAAAATCCATGAAGCTTTACAACAAGAAGGCTTTATAAAACCCCTCATTGTAAAACATTCGCGAAACTCAAATCATCCAACCTTTCAACATAAAACAATTCACAAAATTCATCAAAAAGCTTTCAAACCATGAAAGTAAATACTCGTAAGCACTTCTGATATAAAACATCTTATAACACCTCTCTTTCCAAAGAAGACTCACAAAACCCTTTCAATATAAAGTCATTTGCAAATCTCCTCAATCATGAAGCAAATCACAAAATATCCTCAGTATAAAACAAACCATAAAACCTTTTAATATGAAACAAATCATACAATTTCTCAATATAAAACAAAACATAAAACCTCTTCAACATGAGGCAACATATGTATTTAATGCTAGAACCCAACACTTCCTGGTATCTATCACATAATTATGCAAGAAAATGCTCATGCTAACAAGAAACAAAACAGGTGAATGGCCAAATATCTTTGAAGCCGATAAAGATTTTATGAATAATATCAGGACTGAGCCATAAATAAGAAAAAGGTCCAACACTACTTGCCAATAACTTATTACCCATACCATATCATATGAAGAAAAGAGAAATAACTTTCTCTACCTGGAGCAACAAGATCTTTCCACAAGATATTTTCTAACCTTTCATAAGGATGATACTAACATGAAAATTTGCATGAAGAGAATATATTTAAATATCCATATGTAAACTTCAGAGGATGAACAACATAAAAGGAGAGAAACTTGTAATCATGCATATAGTGCCTTTTCCACTATTTTAACAAGAGAATGCAATAATCTATAATAAATCCCCAACTTGCTCGTGGTTCTAGGAAAAGCAAATAATTCGCAAGCCCTTGACAACGAACATATAACATTTAGAACATAATAAAGCCATCACCTTTCTCACCGAATACATGGATACGACATTGAAGCATGACAGTTTCTATGTAAGCTTGACAAGCACAACAAATTCTCCAACAACACCAAGTGTCACCCTCCAATATAGCCAAACTATTCCATGTTGAAAGAAATCTAAAGCATGTTTAATACGGCGAACCAAGTCATCATGAGATTTTCCAACACAAAGTGAATTGCAAGGCTTTCAATATAAAACAAACATAAGAAAATTTCAACACGGCCAATCTTAGAACTCTCTATCCCAGACCACTTTGCAACAACCCTTACAATTCACCAATAGATTTCCAATATAAAGCAATCCTTAAAACTTACCAACGAACTTCCAAACTTCTCGCTACTTGCCACCAAGAACACAAAGGAGCTTCAACTTAAACTTGTGAACGCGTTTTGTGCCAAATATGTGATATTGTAAATCGAGAGCTTATCATATAGGAAAATTAATGAAATGTAGAAACAATATTTTGGGAGAATCACAAGTAAAGTTCTAAATATATGCCATATTACCTCTCTCGATCTCTCCATAAGCATCACAGTGAAATTCTATACTTGTGAAATGATGTAGAGCAACGTCATAATAAAGCTGACTTTAAAACTCTCAATACTAAATATTTCCCAGCAACAAAGTGAGTCATCAAAATATTCTTCCACAAAATTCCAAGTCCAGAAAATCATAATGCCAATAAACAATAAATCCCAATGACCATGAAGGATACATATGCGATAATACTAAAATCAATAAAGTAAAGAACGATGCTCATCGCAATTCAATAACTTCTTCATAGCTAGTAGCATGTAACTAAAAAAAAGTAGTGAAGGGGTCTCACTTAGATCCCCACAATGCTATCTCAAAAGAAAATCTGAGAGCTCGACATTCAAAAAAAAAATGGACATAAGCACCCTGACATAATATAATTACTTCCTTTAGAATTTGACATGCTTCCAATCAAATATAAATCATATGAGCACATGAGTAAGTTAACTAGGCATGCTTCATGACAATGGTTTAAGAAAATCGATTCATAAAAATACCCCATAATTTCTCAAAAGAGGTTGAATTTATTTGAACATAAACCTTCACATGTTTCTTCAATCATATACAAATCATACAATAATTATGGCAATAATTTTAAGAAAATTTCATAGCTAATGAGAAGAGGTGGAGAATGAATGATAAGCTTAACGCATCATTGAATTTCTTTGAGTATAAAATTCTACTTAAGCATCTTTGCACAATAGATACATAGAATTAACCATAAGATTTCACACATCATGCTCCATACTCCACATTGCAATAAATTATGGCGACTTCATTAACCCAACAAGATGTAAAGCCTCAACTCAAACAAAGCCTTACAACCTTTGTCCACACCTTGTAAAATTATTCATTCAAGAGAAAGTGTCTACAAGAAAAGAAGGTTTTGGCACAAACGAAGCTAATGATTATCATGTCATTTTACTAAGACATTTTGTCAAGCAACTAGCATGCAACAAGACAAAGCCTCATAGAACAAGTCGATGCAAGGATTTTGCTTTACAATCTCACGTAACTATGCAAGAGAAAATAAACTAATAAATCATTGAGCACATGTCATCATCACATTACTTATGGTAGGGAACAACTAACAGAAAACTTTCATTATTGATTATTTCCAACCACAAGGATAAGGAGAAAGCAAATTAAAGCCAATTTCATCCTTTATGTTTTATGAATCATGAGAAATACTTAACACGCCATTATACTTAACTGGAAACAAACTCTTACATGAAGCATAAAATATATCATAGGCATTTGTGCTAACAGAACTTCTAGAACACATATTGGGAGAGGTTTGCTGAAGGGATCGCCTCATACAAACTTCCAAACAAAGTGTATTGAAGGAATGAAGGAAAGAAAAGAGAGATCAGTAGAAGGCAAAAGAAGGAGATGAAATAAGAGCAAAGAAGAAGGAGGAGGAAGAAGGAAAGGGGAAGAAGAAGAAAAGGGGAAAGGGTTACCTACAGAGGAGAGGGATTTATGCTCAGCTAGGGCACGTCGAAGGCGAGTCAGAGCCGGTGTTGGGTTCGGCCCTGGGAGGCGAAACCGAGAGCTGGATGAGTAGGCTTCGGCGTCGGGTTTGGACGTGGAGGCGAAGTCGGGTCGTCGGATTCGGCTGGCTCACGCGAATGAAGAGGAGGGAGCTTGAACTTCACTGGTTGCGTGAGAGAGGAGAAAGGCTCACCGAGTTCAGCTTCTTAAACTCGGTCAGAGAGAGTCGGAGAGGACCCGAAATCCTCTGGTTCTTGTCTGAATCGAGAGAGACGGAGAGGGAGTCGGTGTGAGAGAGCTGGAGAGATCGAGAGAGAGCTAGAGGGGAAGAGCAAAAATCGGGAGAGAGAGCGAGAGCGGCGTGAATGATCCCCATCCCGCGTGAATGAGAGAGCTTCGGCCTTAGTTAGGGCATTCAAGGAAATCGAAGCCGTCCGATCGAATGCTTGATCCAACGGATTCAAATTGGCTTGGAGAGTCAATCAAATTTTGATTAGGACTTAGCCGCACCTAAGGGACTCAAATCAAATTCAAATTGAGTAGGGTTTGGTTCGATCCGGGTCGACTCGAACTCGCCTCGACTCGACCAAAATTACTTCAATAAAATAAGATAAAAAAATAAATCAAACTCAAATTAGTGTCGATTTGAATTGAATCGAGCTCGACGAGACTCGATCAACTCGCTCGAACATGCTCGAGGGAAAATCAAGACAAAAACGAGGTCAACAGTTATAGATTGAGCTAAATCATGCACCATATCATGCAAAAAGAATCCTTTATCTTTTGAGCATTGAAAAAACAACATTCTCACCAAGTCTTCAAAGTATTCAATTGCAATATCTTCCCATAAAATTTGTCTTTCTGTGAGTTGAATGTAACCTTGATCGATCCACATTCTTATCAATTCTAATTTCTTAAAGTAATGATCCTTTGGGAACAACGATGCATAAAGAAAGCATGGTTTAAGATATGATGGCAAGTGATTGTAGGTTATCCTTAGTGTTGACAAAATAATTGCTTTGGGTTCCCATAAAGTATTGTTTAACACATCCTTCCATGTTTGCTTATTAAATTCATTTCGTAGAAACACCCCAATAGTTTTTAAAGCTAAAGGCAATCCGCCACATTTCTTGGCAATTCTCCTCCCAAGTTGTTCAAAATTAAGCTGTTGATCCGGCTTCCAACCATGGAAGGCATGTCTTTGGAACAATAACCATGACTTTTCTTCATTTAAGCATTCAAGTTGAAGTGGGGACATTGTTTGCATGATATCAACAACTGGCATATATCGAGTTGTTATAATAATCTTTCCCATTCCAGTACCATAAAAGGGTGCTTGGAAGGCCTCCCACAAATCTAATCTCTTGTTCCAAATATCATCAAGGACAATAAGATATTTTTTATCAAATAGAGTCTTCTTGAGTAGACAATGAAGATCATTTAAGTTATAAATATCATTGTGTCTGGATGAACCCAAAATAGATGTCACAATTTGTTGTGTTATTCTTAGAACATCAAATTCTTCAGAGACATGCACCCACACCTTCCAGTAAAAATATTGGCATACCACAGGATTATTGTATACGAGTTGAGCAAGTGTTGTCTTTCCCACACCCCCCATGCCGACAATGGGAATTACAATGTTGTCTGCCTCTGCATGAGACATTAACAATTGAATTATCTTTCTCTTTTCATCCTCCCTTGCAATAACATCATATTCAAGCTGAAGAGAACTTGTTGGTGACCTCTTTATAACATTATTGGAAGGAGGCCTCCTTTGTGCTTCTTTTTCACTAAGATGAAGAACTTTTCTATCATGTGCAATCTCATCAAATTTCTTTATGATCTCAATGATGCTCTTGGTCATGTCGCATGAAATGGGAATTTTCATTGAATTAGAGGGAGGTAGTGACACCTAATAATAGTTTTCATGCATAATCAACATATTGATAAACATATCCACTCACTTTCTAATAACTAGAATTTTAATTGAATTTAGGAGTGGAAGTGGAAGACATACCTGGCAGCCATAAATATCATCATCATCTACTCGTTTCCTCTTTAGAGAAGGCTCTGCTTCAACTACTGCTCTGATAATTTGATAATCATATTGATCCAAGACATCTTCAACATCATAAGCAACTTCTCTAAGCTCGCTGAGCCACAACTGGGTGGCGTTCTCATTGATCTCCCTCTCCTTGGCATCATGAAGGACTGCTTGAATTCTTTGTAGCATTCTCGACAATCGGCTCAAATCCTCCGTTAATCTTTCTCGATTCGAATTAACTTGGGCAATAGTAACATCTTCTTGTGCTATGGATGATGAGGAAGATGCAATAGTAGTGTTAGGCATAATGTGGTATAATTGTTTCAAGGAAGTCAATAGGCTGGAGATGATCAAAGAAGTTGTTCCTGCCATTTGCAAACCCTTAACTAAAGAATCAATGAAGCTTCAATGAGGATTGGAGATGATTTCGAGAAGATGACATAATGAATGTTGAGTGGTTAGGAGAGGCCAAGTTAAGAATAAATTTATTTTATTTGACAAAAAAAAAGATTAAATTTATTAAATATGACAAATCCACAAAAAAAATTACTTTAAACCTCCAATAACTTCAATGTTTAGTGGGATGGATGATGATGAAAGTTTGTGATCGGGCCAATGAAATATGAACAATTATTGAGTGGCTTTAATGAAAAGAAAGTTAATTAGCATGAAAAGATGGACGTAAACATTGTATAATATAAAATAAAAAAAAAGGTTACATCATGTTGAAGATGCAAATGAATGTTTTGTGGTAGGAAGATGGAATCTTTCTTCTAAACTTTCAATAATTGTAAGTCTCGCTTTTTAAGTCTCCAATAAAATTTGCCCATTTGGATGACATTACTCAAAAATATAAACATATAACAATAACAGGTAAAGAGTCCGTAAAAGTAAAATATCATTAAAATATTATATTAAATGTCTTATATTATTTGTATTATATTATATTAAATAAGTTTGAATGCTTAAAGTTATGCCAATAATTTTTATTAATTTTAAACTTGAAGCAATAGCGATGATAATTCTTGTTTTTAAGCCTATTATAATGTAGATGATAACAAAATCATGAAAGGACCCAATAAGGCATTGACTTCATTTCCATCCATAATTTCTAAAACAAAAATTTACAACGTCGCTTGTTCCTCTCACATGTATTGCAGACACAGCTCGTGCAAAGCTCTTTTCCT